TCACTGTATAAATAAAACTCCTGAGAATTCACCTGAAAAGCAGAGCAGGATGTTATTTTAGTTGCGGATCACACCTAAGTTACCTTTATACTACAGTCCTACTTCTTTCCTTAAGAAGAACCAAGTCACAGAACAGTTTGGCAATTTCTGTTCATACAGAGTTTCTTAATTTGTCTTTCCTTCCTCTTCCATTCTTCATGGGGGGATGATGATGATTCTTCAAAACTTCTTTCACAAATGGGTGCCAGAAACTCTTACCTAAAATCCTGAGACTTCCTCTTCTGAAATCTAGATACTTGTTCCAGACCTAGCTTTTATTTTCAGTGGAATTTACACAATCCAAGCTTGTTTTACACAATTCATTTAAGTCCAAAGACAAACTTTGTCAAAAACAAAGTTTACTGGAGAACCATGAAAGCAAGTTTTAGTGTGACTTAAAAGCTAATACAATATCACTGAATTTAAAAAGACAAGTTTAAGCCACCACTTGAGAAATGTATTATGGAAAGGTGTAATGGACAAAGTTTACCATCTCATTGAAGTGTATAATATTTCAAATCTTAAAACACAAATAAAATGTATTTGTACACAAAAGGATTTACACAGAAAATTCAACTGGAAGTTGAAGTCGCCATATCTTCAGCTCACATCACCGGGCATCAAAAACCACCACTGTAATAGTACAGTTAAAGGAAAATGAAACTAGATTGGAGGGAAAAAAAAAAAAAAAGAGATCAAGGAGATGAAAGGGGAGAGGGAGAGACCGCCTTAGCATAGTTACAAGAAATCACACAGAAGCTTTCAGTAATTTCATTTTTAACGAATCCCACAGCACTTCCCATTTGTTAGAAGACCATACTATAGTAACCATTTACAATATAGCAACCCAAAAATCTATGATGGCTTCATGGCTTACTATATTTTGAATTAAAATAAATGGAGGGAAAAAAAAAAAAACAGGGAAAGTATCCAGAAAGAAAACAAGCTCTCCAATTAAACTGTCTAGATATCCCTCTAGTAATTTGCTGTATTGCATTGGTGCAGCCTTGAAAAGTCCTTACATATTTGCCCCACTTTTCACTGTTGGTCTCATTATATTCCTTGCCCCCATCTACAGCTTCCAAAATGCATTCAAGTGCTGGTGTATAAGGATACATCTTTTTGTCCTTTTCTTGTACATTATTCTGTACCCACATTCTCGACATCTGATAGGATCTCTTGCCTTTATTTCATTCTCTGTATGACATTCTGATGTGATGGAGGAAGAGAAAAGGAGTGGGGAAAAACAAGGAGCATTGTTAAGGCAACGATACAACTTCCAGAAGTCAAAACATTCAAATTCATATTGTGGCAAAAAAATCATGCTAAGAAATTAATAATTTTAGGATACCGTGCAAATAACATGATTGACAAACTGAATTTTACTAAGATATGAGGATTTTGCTATAATCACCAAACCACTACTGCAAAGAATATATTCCATTCCTAATACCACCATGGTGTCTATTAATGAAAGCTTTAATTCCCACATATATTTTCTTTAAAGACATAAAATATTTCATAAGCTTGCCTCTCAGTGACTACTGGGAAAAAAAGTGTTTTAATTGATCTATAGTTAAAGTTTTGATCTCACACTTTAATATTAAAAAAAACTCCAAAATTGACTAAATAAAAGAGTCCACAAAGTCTGTTTTAATAATCTGCATCACATGCACTTGGAAGAAACGTTCTCTGGGTGGGACCTCTACCCAGCAGCAGACATTCTCTTGAAATACTTCTGTGTTTCTCTGTGATCAGTGCAGAAAGCTTTAGAGATCATCCAGATCCACTGTCCTACTACAGACATGATGACTGCACATTCTACTTTACTGAAACGCCAAACCCCCGAGAACAAGCAGAAAAATTCTGTAATGTCTTCCCTTTACCTCCGCAGATGTAAATCATTGGCTGCTGCTTTGGAGGCTGAACATCCTTCTGCGAATCCATGATCTAAACAAAAAA